ACATTTACTAAGAGCCTAATGAAGAATAGACAGCTAATTGTTTTTTATTGTTTAAGTTTACAATATAGTATGTTTGCAATCGTAAGTATCACAATGATTTGGGTAAATTAAGTTTTACTTTGACTTAGGCCTAAACCTGATTTTTATATTTAAATCTCGTTTTTTTTCCTTACTTTAGTATTGGATGATGAAGATAGCAACAATATCACAGTAGGATCCCTAGTTACAGTGTTGGTTAAATTAACAAGGCAAACAATGGCAGTAAGTGGTCCTTTTATGTTTTCATGCTTTTAAAAGTTACATGTGAAGATTTTTGTATTTATTTTCTCATTTTAAGTAGTACTTGCTTAAAAGTAAAACTGTGATAGAAATGTAATATCCAAGTTTGCCAAATTTGCTAGCCCTTTTGGAATTTAAAATTTTATGAAACAGGGTTTACGCATCTGTGCATGCAATGAAAACAAACACACACTGTGGAGAATAGATTAATCCTTTATGTCATAGTTTGTAATTTCTTTAATAAAAATGACAAGAAACAATATGAGCTTAGTTATTCAGTTATAGTTATATACAGAGATTAATTTTTGATTATTGAGAATTTCAACTTTTTAGTTATTTTTTTAGAGGACTAATCCTTTAAATTTTTATTTTAAAAAATTCATTGAAGAATATCAATATATTTCTCTGAATATATGAAAAATTCTCATACTGTAAAAAGAATAGCAATGCCGAAAAGTGTGAGAAGTTAAAAACAAATGCCTACCACTCTGAGATAATTGGTATTTGCAAGCATATTTTTTATAATATTAATATGTAGAGTTACATGATATATTTATCATGGACCCCCTTCTCTCATCCATCTCTGAACCCCTCATCAGCTCCAGATGACTAGAGTGCAGTCTTCTGTGTATCCTTCCATACTTTCCTCATGCTCTTATGCTGTCCATATGTATCACTCACTCACTGCCACCGAGACCCTATAGGATAGGGTAGAGCTGCCCCTGTGAGTTTCAAGACTAGTTCTTTACAGGAATAGAAAGTCCTTCTCCCCTAGAGTGGCTGGTGATTTCACACTGTTGACTTGCCAGTTAGTAGCCCAGGGCATAACCACTACGCCACCGGGGCTCTTCGTCATCTGTATTGGCACCTTTTTCAGGTTTCATAATTCGTGTTTGCATCTCTCTCTCTACACACACACACACACACACACACACACACACACACACACACACACACACACTCCTAATCAACTGGTAGAGTCGTAATACATTAATAGACTATCTAATATTTTAATTCCATGTGTTTAGCTGATTATTATTAGAAGAAAAGTGAAAATTTAAGCCATGAAATATTTGCCCTTATAATCAGAATTTACACATCAGAAGTCATTATAGTATATTTGTAAATTCAAGTGGACTATGCTTTTCAAAATATGTCAAGACAGATATGAACTCATTATATCGGATAATAACTACTTGGATAATAATTGCTTAAAGTCTTTTTTCCTCCTTCTGTCAACTGTGTCCAGTGTTTAAAAAGCTGCTGATGTTTGCAGGGCTACTTTGTTGTGAAAGGTGAGCACGTGGGTGACAGGCTGTATTTCCTTCTTGCGCCCCGTAGGAGGTGTTTGAAAAGGAGCAGTCCATCTGTGCCGCTGAGGAGCAGCCAGCAGAAGAGGGGGTAAGACCCGAGTTTCCTGCTAGTGTTTCTTAGTGAGAGCAGTGCTTTGTGGAGCTCTCTGATGGACTTTTGTCCCTGTAGGGGAGTAAGTATGTGTGTGAAAACATCCAGATTAGCCATTTCCAATTTTAAATTGTGTATGGCTTCCAAATGAGCCTCTTGACGTAACTGTGTGTGATGGTTGTGATTAACATCAGGGGGACGCTAACAAGAACAGGACAAAAGGAGGATGGCAACAGAAGAGTAAAGGACCCAAGAAAACAGCTAAATCAAAAAAAAAGAAGCCTTTGAAAAAAAAACCTACACCTGTGCCATTACCACAGTCAAAGCAGCAGAAACAAAAGCAGGCGAATGGAGTCCTCGGGAGTGTAAGTTTATTATTATGTGTATTGAGGTATACACATTAAAATGCTCAAGTCATGATGTATACAGTTTTCCTAAAGTCTTACACATATATGTATGTACCCACTCGCAGTACCCAGGTCAGTATATAACACTACTAGCATGAGGAAGCTCCAGTGTGCCCCTGCCCAGTCAATAACCACATCCATTTGCTTTCTTCAAGCTCAACCACTATTCCAACTCGTAACGATAAATTACTTTTGCCTATTTTTAAAAACATTTGCCTATTTTTATAATCTTCATATAGATGGACTCATGT